AACATTTTAATCAATAAACTTTGTACACAAGAGGCTTCCCACTAAGGCAGTACATGTATTCCTTCTTCTACCACTTGGGCTTTTAAGGGTCAGGATGGTCTCTCTTCTTCAAGCTTCCCTCAAGTATTTCCAGGGAGGGTGCCTTTCCAGAATCTGTCCCAGGACCAACATTCAACCCAGTCCCTGTTGCATGAACTGATGTTGAAAGCTGTGCGCCTCTCCACTCCCCTCTCACATTCGCCTGGCTTTCCGTGGGCGGCAGCCATTGTGTGGAACTGGGGTGTTGTCGGTGATGGAGATGACCTCCAAACCTCCCATAGTCAAACCCTTGATGGCAGCCTGGAAGAACAAGACAGCAGATGACACACTGTTATCAACACCTTGAACAGCAGGGAAGGGAAGAAGCTTAGGGGAAAATAGTTTGGCCATCCTGTCCAAAAAGCAACTTGTTCCAATGATTCTACTTTGTAATTATCTTAATTTATTTGTATCAGAAAACCCAGTTAAACCTATCTGGTCCTGTCCTTTCATCAGCATTCTCATCAATTTTCCTACTTTAGTTGGAAGAAGTCCCGAATACAGCTTTTATTCTGCCTCCAAAGTGATACTACTCTAAAATTCTAATGATTCTAAAATTTCATTACTGGGCACTTGAGTGATGAATTCTTTACATCACCTTCAGAAACACCAAGTTAACAGGCATAGTCATGAGACCAGTCTGAATTTAAAAAACCTGTATTATGCCCAAGAGAGGAAAAATATGAAAAGAAACTCTGACACCTACTTTGCGTCCTGGTCCCAGTCCTTTCACCATGACTCGTACGTGCAACACACCCTTCCCACGCGCTTTCTGTGAAAAGAACAACTGGTTAGTGATCTCTGTGATGGAACTCCTGCTGCTCTGGCTCCCCTGGAGTCTTTCACTCCCTTTTGGCACACTATCATATAGTATTCTTTAAGTAAAAATAAGGAGTAGGTAGTAATGGATACAGAAGACAAATATGGGGATTATTGCACAAAGACGCTAGGAGAAAAAGAGGCCTGGATACAGCCATGGCAATTTTGAGAGAACTTCTGTGCTAGGCTGTCAGCTCTGCATATAGAGAAAGCTTTAAGATCAAACTATCTGTGACCTAAAGCCAGGGCAGCAAATGACACATCCATGGATACGTGACTGAACTGACAAGGGACTAACAAGGACTAACTGAAAGCTGTTTTCCCTTCTCTAATGCAGCAACTTCTCTCCTGTGATCAGTGGATTCTGTCTAGAGGGTAAATGAGAAAAGCAGGCAAGCTTTATGTTTGCTGTGCAGGAGTCCGCACCTTCAGTGCAAAAATTCTAGGGGCTTGCAAATTGAAAATGAAAACCACCTGCTGTAAAGCTTAGCTGTGCTGCCACCACGTGGACGGAGCTCCTCTGCACCTTTTGCTTTCTGCGTTCTGGTGCAATTAATGTCCTAACAACTTCAACAGTGATGGAATAAATCCAGCCAAGCAAAGCTATGCAGCTATTATAAGGCTCAGATGAGCACAGATTAATAGTGAAGATGTTCTTTTATTCCTCTGAGTCAACCACAATAAGCTGTTGGCCAGCAGTGGCACCAAACACCTCTGACATGAAAGGCTGGAGTGAGTTCCACCTAATTTAGGATGAGATTTTTCAGTTTAACCTTGCTTCATTCTGCTGTAATGAGGACCGTGACACAGCCAGCCTCATCTTCTCCTGCCATCTGGACACCCACATGGTTTTTTTTTTTTTCATTTATTTTAGGAACAATTACAGTAAACTGTATGCAGCTGGAAACTACATGTGGAAGGACATCACCTCTGACTGGAACTGCTGGCAGGAGCTCAGTTCTCCTGTGGCAGAGAGCAAATATAAAACATTTGGCCAGTAATTACAGCTGCTTCTCTGTCCCCTACAGTGCAAAAACTGAACTGCTGCTGATTCAGGGGCTGTATTTCCAAAATGGCTGAGAGATGTTCACTCAGAAAAAAGGAGCTAGCAAACTGGAGCTAGAAAAGGATAGGCTCCAAGATACATCTTCCAATAACAACTTGCACAGCTAAGCTCACCCTCTGGGCAGTTATAACTTCTTTTTCAAACATGCTTTGTCTGTGTGAAGATGTGTACTATGTCAGTTGAAGCTAGGGAAACTGTCAGCAAACAGCAGCGTGCTGCTGGACCGCTAAGGAACAGCACTCTGGACTGCTGCCTGTGAGCGGGGCATGTACCCAGGTAGTGGGGGGATGCAGTCCATGCTCGCCTCTGGGAAGGTGAGAATCATCAGTGTGGACTCACCACTGCTGCTGCCATGGCTGCAGTCTGTGCTGCAATGGCAGTTCCCTTCTTGGCGTTCTGGAAGCCTTCTGTGCCACAGGATGTACGGGCAAATGGCCTGTTGTCAAAGCTGACCACTTGGATGTGGGTGCTACAGAAAGAGACGGGCAAAAGAAAGCAGCAAGCTAGAACAAAGCTTTATTCTCCAGTTTCTTCTTGCTCAGCTTACTGGCACGGCTCACCACAAACTCCCCATCTCCCTTCTCCAAGCTACCCTAACTCAGCACTCTCTTTTGAGGTATCCCACTTAAATAAACCTGCTGCAGAGACCATGAGCCCCCTTTGAGGTGGCAAAACCTTTCTGGATAAAGTATACTTTATCCAGGTATACCTCAGATACCACTTGGCCCTTCAGACCCACCTCTCACTGAGAACATTTTAACTCTTCTGTTTATTAAAAAAATGCACAAAACATTTCTAGAACTTGAAAGAGCTTAAAGAAACAGTAAAATATCACACTAGGGATCGCTAATGAAACAGAGCAATCTCTCATGGAGAATATGACAATTTTTTCTACAGCTGTATAGCCATAGTGCTAGAACTGAGGGCTGGAAGTAACCTGCTATTAAAGCCATCAGCATCTAATTATTCATATCAAAATGTAGTCAAAACGTGTAGTAACAATCTTATTGCTGTTAAAGACACTACAAGGACAGTTATGCTTCCTGAACAGCACTGAGGTTTGGATTCAGTGTTATTATCTTCCCAGTCACGGACACCACTCCCTTGACTTTTTTCTTGATCAACATGCTGACTGGCCAAAGCCCAGGTATGTTGTAAGGTTTCATTTTGCACGAGAGCAGAATTTGCTTACTTGTTGTACGTAGCTTTGATGTGAGCTATTGGGATTTCTTCATAGATCTTTCCGTCCCATCTCATGGAGTTCCTCTGCAGGATTAAAGGGCTGAGGAGCAAAATAAGAGTTATCAGGCACTCACTCTTTAAATTTTGCAAAGTTTTATTTCGTATTGGGAAAGAAAGAAGGGACCAAGTCTCTGAAAGACACAAGCTGCGTTTGTGATTGAGTCAAGTCACTCGCTTTCCCTCCTCGGCTGAAAAAAAACACCGAAGGCGATAAAACCTCCCAGCAAGAGGCAAATGG